CGCCCTGGCTGTGTAGACAACAACTACAAACAATCACCAAGGCACAGCAGGAATCCGAAGTTGTGTCGATGGTACGATGTTGAACCATACTATTGGGACTGTCCAAGCTGTAAGAAGGAATATCAGAAGAGCAATCCTCACCACACCAAGATATCTGGCCACTGCAGATTCGCCGAAAAATGGAAGCTGCCAGATAACTTTGGCCAGCCGCGCCCGGCGGGGCAAGCCGCTCCTGCGGCGCCAGCCGCGGAAGCGTCTCCAGCCGCAGAAGCGGCGCCAGCCGCAAAAGCGGCGCCGGCCGCGAGAGCGCGCATACGCGCGCCTAGGCCGCCACGGCCTGGTGAGGGCGATCCAACCGCAGGCGCCAGCAGCCATGACATCACCAGAGCCGATGGGGCTAATGGTGGCAACACTGGCGCTGGCAGCTCTGACGATCACCGTAGACTGCCACAAGTTGCAGCAAGGCGCGGACGCATGGAGGGAGGAGATCCTCCACCACCGCCGCAGCCTAAAGCAGAGCCGAGGCCAAGGCCAAGGCTCCCTGATTGGACTCGCTTCGACGTTCAGCTCAGCCTCCAAAACCTGCGCAGCTTCGACCCAGCTGTAGAGCAGCGAGAACTCCGCAAACTCCACCTGAGATGGTTTCATGCCAAGGAGCCAAAAATGCGGATGATTCTAACCAAGGTTGGTCTGGGTGAAACCCGTTTGAGTCTGATCAAAGGCATTTGTGACTCGTGTAGGGAATGTCGAGCCTGGGATAAACCAGGCAACACGGTGATGCCTTCTGTGTCACTGCCAGGACGTTTCAACGAAGAAGTCGAATGTGATCTCTTCTTTTATAAACAGGAACATATTGTTTTTCACATCATCGACCGTTGTATTCGCTGGGCAGCTGGCACAGAGATTCCTGATAAAGCTATGCATACTGTTCTCGATGCCTATCATACGACTTGGATGCAGCATGGCCCTGCCAAAATTCTATACTCCGATGGGGAAGGAGCACTGAATAATGATACAGCAAAGGCCATCCTTAAGGCTAAGGGAACAGAGCTTCGTATTCGAGCGCGTGGCCAACACGCTACAACTATCGAAGCTAGGAACGGCATCCTGCGACACCTCTTACACGTGATGGGAGAAGAATTGAATAGATTAAATATTCCTCTGAATTTCACTCGTCTTTTACATGAAGCCTTGTTTGCCAGCAACGCATTTACCTTCTACAATGAAGTGTCTCCGTACAACGCGCTGTATGGCAGACAACCAGCTATGCTTCCCGATTTCCCTGTCTTGGATCATGATCAGTCCGCTGAATCATCAGATCACTCAAGGGAGGAAACAATCAGGGGGATTAGTCTGGAGGCAATCACGCAGGCCACTGCGGTTGCCAAGACGAACAGGGCTCTCCGCACGAAGACTACTGCTACGGGTGAATTTCACTACAACGAGGGGGATCTCGTGGACTATCATCGCCCGACCACCACGAAAGACGACTGGGGTGGATGGAGTGGTCCATACCCGGTCATCCGCAACGAACCTGACCGAGGCCAGGTCATCGTGAAGTTCGGCAGTCGCGAGGTGCGAGTACAGTATCCTGACACACGACACACGCTGTACATCGAAGCACTTATGGTCCGCGAGATAGGATCGGACAATACGGCCCTTCGGACAGTATTGGCCTTTATTGCCGGTCTGCCAGCGGGGAAACCCGCCATGACTTTCGGATATTTACCAGCGAAACAGGGTCGGCTGCAGATGACTGCTGCGAGCCGACTTTCGCCTAAGGTGCACTTGGCTCTTCAGTACCTCATACGCAACTACTTTCGTTTTGAAAACGTTGTTGCTGTACGACTTGCCAAGAGCCTGACGAAGTTGCCTGCTGCACCCTATGCAGACAGCTGTACACTAGTGCACTATGATAATGATGTGACCCCTGGTTTTCATTACTATGAAGCTGATGGCACTGCCTTGAACATCAACGACATCACAGGATCTACACACTCACGCATCATCCAGTGTCTTAAATCCAGGAAGCCGTCTGCTGGATTTGACCGAGACCTCACTAAGTTTGAGGAACTCGCTGATGATCCACCACCAAGCGAGTCACCTCCAGCAGCTGCTCCTGAGGAGCCTCCTACGGAGAACGATGGTCGGCTCCCGACCATCATAGAGGAAACAGAAGAAGATCTGGATGCCCTTGTCTTGAAGTCGTGGTATGCTGAACTGATGGATGACAGAACACTCTTTGAAGCTGACACAGAAGAAGTCATGCATGCAGTTCCCACATACATGACAGACACACAGTGTGTGTTAGTCTCTACGACCTGTGAAGATGTGCAAGGCCACTTGCCGGAGCGGGGTCACCCGCCAGGATACGACATGGACACTTCTTACTACGTTCCCTTATGCTCCACGGATCCGGACAGTAATATGATCTGGACTCCGATGAGCACGGGAAGTACATCGAGCTCTGCTTCACAGCAGACATGTCCAAAGTCGTCCTGTCCGAGCAGCAACACCGATTGTTGGATGACAGCAGCGTCACAACTATGCGAGTATACGTAAGTGCTGCTTCCAAACGCGCCGTGGTCGTCAAGGAAGACGATCTACTCACGAAGGCCGACATCCAAGCAAACCTGGTCAAAGTCTCCAAAGCCCTCTACACAGAATTGAAGACTTGGCTTGACAACAAATGCTTCCAGATGACTGACTTGAGCAAAGCGTCTAACATCATGACGTCACGCTACGTATACAAATGGAAGTTTGTCAAGAACGAAAAGGGCGAAATGGAAAGGACGATCAGGTTACGCTTGGTACTCCGTGGCTTTATGGACCTTGAAGCCTTTGATGTCGAAACCTTCTCTGGCACGGCATGGAGGTCAAGCCAGAGACTGCTCGCAAGTTCTGCTGCATGCAACAAAGCTTGGATCATCGCTTCCCTGGACATCAACATGGCTTTCTTGAAGGGACTGACCTATAGCGAGCTTGCCGCGGCAACGGGCGAGAAAGAGCGTATGGTGTGCTTCACACTACCTCCTGGGTCAGCAGCTGTCCTTCGCACACTGCCAGGCTTTGAGTCATATGACGAATCAAAGCATTGTCTTCGGTGTCTGAAGCCGGGGACGGGCGCGAAGGATGCTCCCAGGGCATTCTCGTTGAAGCTTAGGTCCATCACTAGGAGTTTTGGGCTACAGCCTACTTCATACGACGAAGAGTTCGAGATGAGCCCAAACCTCTTGACAGCCAAACACGTTGATGACATCAATATGACCGGGAAGGAAGATGCTATTGACAAGTATGTCAAGTGTGTTGAAGATACGTTTGGAAAGTGCAAACTGAACAAGCACACATACACAAACTGTGCCGTTCGGTACAACAAGACCGATGACGGGAGCGTCACTCTTGATCAGGACGAATACATCAAACAGCTTCGTCCTATCACACATCCAGAACTCACAGGAGCTGATCCTGAGAGCAAAGCGACAAAGACGATTTCTGACATGTTCGTCAGTCTTCGTGGCGCTCTAGCCTATGCGTTGATCACGCAGGTATGGCTGATGGTCTACGCAGGTATGGCTGATGGTCTATGTTGTCTCACTACGACGTATCCAGGAACCGACAAACATCCAGGTACGACGACTAAACGCGGTTACCAGGAAACTACAGGCAGGTCCGAAGAAGATCGTGTATCAAGCTATGACTCCAACAGGAGAAGTTGACCTGCATAGCGATTCTGGCTATCGCCGTCTCAATGGAGATGAAGGCGACGAAGTCAAAGGCTATGGTATCCGCGGGGCTAACCTGCTAAGGCGTGGCCACACGCAAGCGGGGAAACCCGTCGTGCACCTGGTGGACGCATACTGCAAGTCTCATCGACTGCAGGTGCGTTCGAGCTACTCTGCGGAAACACTGGCAGCATCCCACAACTTGGAAGACTGCTACCCGACCATTGTAACGCTCCACGAGCTACACTCGGGACCATTGACCCCCACACAGTTAAAGAACATATTGGAAATGGGTGGTCTATGTATCAAAGTCACTCTGACTATTGAAGCCGAGTCTGTCTTCAAGTCTTTGTCTAGCAAAGATCTGAAGAAGCCCACAGAATGTACTCTGCTTGGGCACATTAGCTGGATCCGCCAGATGATGGAGCGCGGAATCGTTGAAAGCGTTCAATGGTGTGACACGCGGGATATGACTGCCGATGGTCATACCAAAGGTAGTATTGACCGCGCGTTTCTCCTACAAGTAATGGCCGGCCAGCAATCCTTCAAGCACGAGCTGAAGAAACATACGCCGTATAGGGCGGGCAGGTCGTCTCAGGACGGCCCTGCCTCCCGAGCTAGCGGGGAAACCCGCGTGCAGGTGCGCTCTAGTAGCGAGGGAACTCGCCGGTAGCGAGGCTACTCGCGCGCCCTTGCCTTGTAGGCAGCCGCTGCTGCTTAGCACTGTTTTTTCCGCGTAATGTAGAAGTGCGGTGCCTGCTCGTCTCCTCCCCCTCCGACTTTAAACGGAGAAGGTTAAAGGCGAGGTATAAATCGCGCATGTACCGCTGCCGTGCCTGGCTCAAGCCGGGCCCGGCCAAATATGTGATTGTGCCTCACCGAGGCGCACGACTTGTATCTGAGATCGGAAAATACCTTTTCCATTGACGATGCCCATCCTATCCTTTACTCCAGATCCCATGCTTCGTCTTGCTCTCTTGCTCATGCGTTATGAGCCAAAGCCTGGGATATGGCAACGCTTAAAGCGTAACACATACCTAAGTCTACCAGGGCTTTATTTTTTGGGACTTTTTGTTGGTTTGTTTTTTGTTGCTTTTTCACTTTATTTATATTTTTTTTTGTTTTTTTTTTGTTTTTTTTTTTATTTTATTTTTGTATTAATTGTTTTTCTTATGTTGATTTTTGGTTTGGTGTTACTATTATTTGTTGCCGCCTCGTCCGCACCGCGCTCGCCGCGGCCACCGTGCTGCTCCTCGGACCCGCCGCGCTGGCCGCGAGTCTGCACCACGCGTGCGCCCTCGGCCTCCGCGTGGACGGCGTGCACGTCTCCGCGCCGGAGGGCGCGGACTCCGCCGACGTGATGCTCGACGCAGGCTTGGTGCGGCCTGCCTGGTCTCCGCACCGCGCCTGGCTCCGGAGCGCCACGTGCCAGCTGCGGGTGCGCGACCTGGACGTCGCCGTCGAGGCCCCGGACGCCCAGCATCAGGGCCCGTCGCGCGTCAAGCTCCACGCCCGCACGCGGGTGTCGCCCGCGGGCGCCGCGGCGTCTGCGCCCGGCGGGTGCGAGGTCACGTCCAGCGTGGACATCTTCGGCCTCGGCCTGCGCGTGCCGTGGACGGCGCGGGTGCCCGTGGACCTCGCGGCTGCGGAGGCGCCCACGATGTGGGTGCAGCGCAGCGGGAGCGTGGCGCGGAAGGGCCCCTGGTCGCTGGAGAGCCCCAACGTGACGCTGGAGCAGCCGGCGCTCGTGGGCTGGCGGGTGCCCGCGGGGAGTCTCCCCGAGGCCCTGGACGGCCTGCTCGGGAGGGCGAGCATCAGCCTCGACGCCGCCGTGGCCTACGAGGAGAGCGGGGACCGCTCCGTGCGACTGACACAGGCGGTCAACGCCAGCCTGGTCATCGAGAGCGACGGCGAGGGCGGCTACCTGGTCTCCGCGCCAGCCCTCGTCACTGGCCACGTGCGCCCCGCCGCCTTCGCGGCCGCCCTCGGCAAGCTGCTCGTCGGCGACTCGCGCGGGGAGCGCGGCGGCGTCCACCGCTCGGTGCGGATGGCCGCGGTGGCGCCGTCGTCGCTGGCGGCGCAGTGCCTGGGCGCCTCCCACGCGGTGGGTTGGCGCAGCCGCAGGGCGTCGGCCGTGCACGACCTGGCGCGCGGCGCGAGGCGGCTGCTGGGCCGCCGGCTGGCGAGGTCGCTGGGGGGCTCCACCGGCGAGCGCCTGGTGCAGCAACCGCCGTGGGACGGCCGTCGCCTGACTGGCGAGAGCACCACCGTGACGTTCTCGGAGATGGTATACGCAGATGGGTCCGAGATCGACATTGAACTCAATGCCACCATGACCGACAACGCCATCGGTTTCGATTTGCAGTACGGGATGGACGAGGCGACCCAGTTTGAAGTGCACCTGTTTGCCGCGGATTCTGCCGAGGCAGGGGAGGCCTCCCTGGACTTAGCCGTCTTTTTTTCAGACGTGGAAGTTGCCAAGGTCGAGTTTTCTTCAACCGACGAGACGACGCTCTCCGTGCTAATCAAGGCCCCAGACAGTGGCGATACCATCGCCAGCGTGTCTGCCTCCTCGAGTGCAAGCGCTGGCGAATCCCTCTCGACTCGCGTCTATAACCCCGAGGATGGCACAGAGTTCATTACCATCACGGGTACAAACAGCAGTACGTCCATGAGCGTCTCGGCGGTCGTGAAGGACCCCAGTGATTCCTCCAGCACCTTGCTCGACGCGTCTGCCGGGGCAACATACACTGGCGCTGACACGGAGGACGGCACCTTGGAGGTCACGGTAAGCGTTGAAGGTGAGCAGATCGTGTTGAGCGGAACCTTTTCGGATTCCTATCGCGCACAGGGCGGCTTTACGATTGACGCCTCTCTCTCGGTTGCCAATGACCCCGCAGGGCGGGTCGACGTCGACGGCGCCCACGACGACACTGGCTTGACTGCCGTCGCGTCGGTTGAAGTGTTCGAAGATGGCAGCTATCAGCAGTTTCTCAAGCTGGACCCTTTGACTCTGGTGACGAAGAGTACGAATTACACGTTCCACACCGCCATCCACGACAGCGAAGACACAGAGATGGGTACAGTTGGCGTGTCGCTCACCAATGAACCTACCAGTGGGCAGGTGCAAGATGTGGACATCAATATGTTCAGCCCCATGGACTCCAGCCTCAACGTTACCATGTCCGTTTCATTGGCCAGCGGACTGCTCGATATGCTCACAGACGCAGCGGAGATTCCGTGCCTGCAGGGTTCGTGCACCGTGGATGTGGATTTGCACAACCAGCACATGGATTTGGTCTTTTCGTCGGCGACATCAGATGATCAGAAAGAGCGTGTTCTACCGCTGCTGGCGGAAAACCGGGGGGGGTCACTACCGGTTCGAACCCCTCCCCCCCCCCCCTCCGGAAAACCGGGGGGGTCAACTACCGGTTCGACCCCTCCCCCCCCCCCCCCCCCCCCCCCCCCCCCCCTGCCTCATCATGAAAGGGGGGGGGGTCACACGGTTCGAACCCCTTCCCCCCCCCCACCCCCCCCCCCCCCCCCCCCCCCCCCCAGCCCCCTCCGGATCCGGGAGGAAAACCGGGGGGGGTCACTACCGGTTCGAACCCCCCCCCCCTCGAAAACCGAGTGGGGGTGCGGACAGTGGTGGGGACGGTGTTGGTGGGGACAGTGGTGAGGGGACAGCGGGACAGTGGTGGGGACAGTGGGACAGTGGGACAGTAGAGGGCCGGTAGTGGTGGGGACAGTGGTGGGGACAATGGTGGGAACAGGGGGGACAGTGGACAGTGGTGGGGACGGTGGTGGTGGGGACAGTGGTGTGGGCACAGTGGGAATGAGGCGGAAACAGTGGGACAGTGGAGGGTACAATGGTGGTGGGGACAGTGGTGAAGGCGGTGGCGAGGACGGCGGTGGGACAATGGGACAGAGGTACAGTGGGGACAGTGGTGGGGACAGTGGGGACAGTGGTGGGAACAGTGGGACAGCTCAGTGGGGCAGCGGAGGAGTCAGTGGGACAGTGAGGACAGTAGGGATAGTCGGGCAGTGGTTGGGGCCGTGGAGACTGGGGAGAGTGGAACCGTGGTGGGAACAGTTCTGGGGACAGCGGGAACAGTGCGACAGTGGTGGGGCCACAGGTGGGGACAGTAGGGGCGGTGGTGGAACCAGTGGGGACAGCGGTGGTGAGGACAGTGGTGCTGGGAACACCACTGGGGGATGTGATGCGGACGGTGGTGGGGACCGGGAGTCGTTTGCTGGCGGTGAGTAGGGGGGGGGGGGGGGGGGGGGGGTTCGAACCGTAGTGACCCCCCCGGTTTTCCGAATCCGGAGGGGGGGGGGGGGGGGGGGAGGGTTCGACCCGTAGTGACCCCACCGGTTTTCGAGCGGGGGAGGTTGGAGTAGGGGGGGGGGGGGGGGGGTAGGGGACTGGGGGGGGTATTTGCCGGCGAGGAGGGGGGGGGGGGGGGGGGGGCGAAGGGAGGGGTTCCAGCAGGGGGGGGGGATTTTCGGAGGGGGCGGGGGGGAAGGAGGGGAGTGCGGCTGGGGGGGGGGCAGGACCCCCCGGGTTCCGGAGGAAAAAATTGGCAATTTTCCATAGTAAAGCGGCGGTGGATCACGCTCTCTCGATGATCAGGAAGACTACCGCGCGGTTCTCGGCATGACTGCACGCGACACGCTCTATTCCGCAGGGGCGTCAGTCATTGTGCAGAGCGTGCAGGATATGATAGCAGCATACATTCAGCTAGGCAATGGCAACTCGGCCATCGCAATCGACCAGTTCGCCATGTCATCCAGTGGCACCATCAAGGACGAAAACAGCGAAAAGATCATTGGATGGGATCTGAGCGCCGACGCATCAACTTCCTCTCAATCCGTGGACCTGACTGTCGACAGCGGATCCAGCACCTTCCTCGAGGTCGACGTCTCCTTCGCCGAGCTCCCCACGGGCGACTCGGCCGCGGGGGAGATCCGGCTCGAAGGCGAGAGGCTGGTCAAGTGGGACGTCGTGTCGGAGACGTCGGGCACCGCGACCACCTGGGACGTGGACGTCTGGGACCCCGATGGCCAGCTCCTCGCCGTCGACGCCTCGCTGACCGAGGGCGACCCCTCTGGCTCGGCGCTGCTCCGCGGGAGCGCCGCGGTGCGCCTGGAGAGCGGCCAGGCTCCCGAGGCCCTCGGCGGCGTCCGGCTCGAGGCGGTCGACGCGGCCGGGGACTGGGCGACCTTCCAGCTCCAGGTCCTCACCGCCGACCTGTCGACGCCCTTCTTCCAGCTCGACGCGGGCGTGGACTTCACGGCGGCCGGCGGGCTCCGCCTGCTCACGGACTGGGACGCCTCCGCGGAGGCGCAGGTCTGGGACCCGAGCGACACCGACGCGGGGGTGATGATGACCGTGTCGGTGACGGGCAGCAGCTCCGGGGGCGTTTTCGCGTCCGGGATGGCGATGGAGGACAACGACGGCAACCAGTTGATGAACTGGTCTATCGTGGGAACGAGCAGTTCTGACAGCATCACTTCCCATGGGAACCTCGGGGATGTCATGACCGTTGCGCTGGCCCTCACGAAGCCGGACGGGCGCCTTGACACGATGACCGAGATGGCCTTGACGCTGACGATGGAGAGCATGATGGACGACGAGGACGACTACGAGATGGAAGTAACGACGACCCAGCAGGGGCAGACGACTACGTACGAGGACGGCTGGTGGAGCGAGGCGAACGGGGAGGAAGACGATTGGGACCTGATGGGTACGGAGAACGTATCTATCTCAGTCAGTCTTGGTTACGACGGCGCAGACACGTGGGATGTGACTGGAAGCTTGAGCCAAAACGGCGACACGTACGTTTCAGTGGAGGCGCACTTGCACGAAGAATGGGTCTCAGTGACCTCGTGGGCCAATGAGGAAATCGGGGATATGGTGGGCGCGGGGTTCATGTACGAGTACGTCAACGCCAGCATACCGACTTCCGACTCCAGCGACATGTGGGAGATCAACTACATCCAGACCAGCGACTTCATCGAGACCACCAATCTCACCTGGCACACGGATGACAGCGCTGGAGAGTCCAGTTTTTTTGTCAAGTCGTATGCGATGGAACTGGATGGAGGCGTGTGGCGGTACATCTTGTCCATTAACGCCTCGGCAGACATGACCGATGGGCTCACTGTGTCTTCCACGCCGGCGCCATCGGCAGCGCCCACTGTGTCTCCCACGCAGGCGCCATCGACGCTGGCCACGCTGGTCGTCTCGGGGAGCTTCAGGGCCTCCGTGGCAGCCTCCGAGGCCGAGGACTTCATAAGCAACTCCGACGTCGTGGACTCATTCGTGACCTCGATCGCCACGAGGGTGGGCATGCCAGAGTCGACGGTGGCGGTGACGCTCTCGGTGTACAGCGACCGGAGGCTGGCGGCCAGAGGCGGCCGGAGGATGACTGCCGAGGCCGCCGAGATCTTGGTCTCCTACACCATCACCGCACAGGTGGGCTCCTCTGAGGGGGGAGGCGTCATCAGCGAGAGCGCCTTCGACAGCATAGTGGACACCCTGGAGAGCACCACTGCGGAAAACTTCGTGGCAGACTTCAACACGCAGCTTCAGGGCACTGGGTCTGCTTCTACCTTCTCGGCAGTGGCGGCGGTGCCGAACTCGGCAACGGCCCCGACGATCGTGGATCAGAGCCCAGCGCCGGAAAGTTCTGGCGCCTACGCAGCATTCCCGCAGGCGCTACTGCTGGCTACCGTCTGCAGGCTGCAGTTCTGAGTGCGCAAGGGCCATTTCACGATTGCTGCAGGCTGCTGTTCTGAGTTCTTGAGTGCTGCAGGCCCGCAGGCTGCTGTTCTACGCGTCTCGCACTTTCCATCAGCGCGCGGCATTCCAATGTGTCCTAGCATTTGCCATCAGGGCGCGACATTCCAAAGATTGCACATGCGGCATGATTTCTGGTTTTCTGGGCCTGCCCTCCCCAGCTTTAACGTATCGCGCTTGCGTTCTGAAGAAAGACGGCCAAGATGGCCCAGGATGGTCTCCAAGACGTCTCCAAGACGCCCCAAGATGGCCTCCAAGACGGCTAAGATGGCCCCAAGATGCGCCTCCAAGACGGCCCAAGATGGCCTCAATACGGTCTAAGACGGCCCAAAAGGCCCGCAAGAGGCCTCCAAGACGGCCCAAGATGCCTCCAGGAGGTACTCCAGGAAGGCCCGACGAGGCCAAAATCCGCCGCCCCCTGCCTTTTTGGAAGCGCCTATGTGGCCGAACGTTGAGGCCAGACCTGCCAAGCTATCGGACCATGTGTTCCCCGAATCGGTAAAGCCTTCGGGGAACACGTGGGCATCTTGAAAGTCATCTTGGCCGCCTGGAGGCCATTTGGACCCTTTCGGGCCTTCTTGGAGGACGTCTTGGAGGGCTCTTGGGCCGTCTTGGAGGCCATCTTGAGCGTTTTGGAGGCCTCTTGGGGCCGTCGTGGGCCTCTTGGGCGATCTTTGGAGGCACTTGGGCCGTCTCGGGCCGTCGGAAGGCAGAACAAAAAGCAAATGCCACAATCCTTCAAACACTCATGGGAAATAAATGATTTTGGCCTTTTCGGCCCTTCTGGAGGCCCTCTTGGAAGCCTTGTAGGCCGTCCTGGGCCATCTTAGGGCCACGGATTTTGGACTTTTCGGGCCTTCTGGAGGCCCTCTTGGAGGCCTCGTGGGCCGTCTTGGGCCATCTAAAGGCCATCTTCGGCCGTCTTGGTGGGCTCCTGGTCCGTCTGACGCCGTCGGAAGCCGTTTGGGGGGCCCCTCTGGGCCGACTTGGGGCCCTCTTGGAATGCTCCAGGGCCGTCTTGGAGGCCATCTTGGGCGTCGTAAAGGCCTCCTGGGCCGTCTTGGGGGCCTCTTGGGGCCGTCTTGGAGGCCTCTTGGGTCGTTCTGGGGCCATCTTGGAGGCCTCTTGGGCGATCTTTGGGCGATCCTTGGGGGCTTTTGGGCAGTATCGGGCCTTCGGATGGCCGGAAAGAAGCAACTTTCAAAATCCTTCAAAAACTTTAAGTAGAATCAATGCTTTTGGCCTTTTCTGGCCTTCCTGGGGGCCCTCTTGGAGGCACCTGGGGCCGTCTTGGGCCAGCTTCGAGCCAACTTCGGCCACCTTGGTGGGCTCCTGGCCCGCCTGACGCTGTCGGAAGCCGTTTGGGGTGCCTCTCTGGGCCGACTTGGGGCCCTCTTGGGGTGCTCTAGGGCCGTCTTAGAGGCGGCAGATACTGCGGGGCCACAGAAGGCGACGATGGGGCTACTGAGGGTAGCACCTGGGCCACGTAGGACAATGAGGGGGCCACGAATGGCGACAGCGGGGCCACGAAGGGCATGTACATGAGGCCACAACGGGCGCGAACGAGCGGGGGCCACGAAGGGCATACGTATGTTGGGCCGCGAAGGGTAAGGACGGGGCCATTGTGGGCAGCAACGGGGACACGAAGGGCAGCGAGGGGGCCACGAAGGGCGACAGCGGGGCCACGAAGGGCATGCATATGGGGCCACCACGGTTGTGGCGGGCTGTTCTGTCACAGGAGGACATGTTAGGAATTAGGAAAAACAATCCACCAGGATAGGACCATAATAGGTTTGGGAAGTAGGAAAAATAGAACATACATAGCCAACAATCTTAGGGAAATATGTTGGCCGCTGCGCAAAGAACACTTATCGATGTCAATGAATCCATTGTGTTCACAAGTGCAAGAAGAGCGCGCGTGTAGGCATCATCGCCACGTCTCGTGGGGGAGTGGTCGCACCTTGAGCATTTGCGTTTGGACATTGTGTAATTTACAATAGATCAAAGTTCCCACGTGTATGGTACAAGGCGTGCTTGTAGGATCGCCACAATGCACGTGAGTCCCACGTTCGTCTACGAAACCAAAGCACGCTTGCAAGACATCATGGCAACCGTTTGCGAACATCGTTTTCTGTTTCAGAATGATCGCCTTGCGTTTGCGAGCAACGGCACATTCCCTGTATTGTCCGCGTTATGTCATGAGTGGACATGTTTGTGTTGTCTCAATATATACAGAGCACAATACCCTAAACAATTCTTTTGTCATGCAATATCATTGCCCTCCCACACCTTCTCTTCGTGTTCGTGTCTTGCCAGGGGGGGGAGGGAATCAGGTTTAGGTCTAGGTCTTTCAGAGTAGTTTCAGAGTAGTTTCAGGCAGTTACTCGCCTTAGTAGTTTCAGAGTAGTTTCAGGTAGTTGGAGAGTAGTTTGAGAGCAGTTTCAGAGTAGTTTCAGAGCAGTTTCAGCAGCTGTGCCTCGCCTTGACTGCCCCCCTGCGTCGCCCCAATGATCCCCTTCAGGATTTTGTGTTGTATTTGCAGGGGGCGTTTCGCCGAAATCATCTTCAGGGGCACCGAAATCGTTTCGAGCGGCGTCCTGGCCCCGGGACGATTCAGTCGGTGATTTTTTTTGCGTTGCCAGCCTGTCCAGAGCCATTTGGTCCAGAGGTTAGTCTTTCATATATCGATATGATGTTAATGTAACATCTTGTGTTCATGCAGCTCCTCCATGTTTTGTGTGGTTGCTTGGCAACCGCCATCCATATTCATATCGACGTGCCTGGGTTTCGTCGCCAGGAGGAGTGGATCAGCTGTGCTATGCCCGACAGCTCAGATGTTGGTCACGCCTTCGGATCCTTCGCGATGGTTGGAGGCAGGTCTGATAATGACGCTGGCGCCTTCGGATCTTTCGCGATGGTGGGAACGAGTTCTGATAATGACACTGGTGCTTTCGGATCTGTCGCGATGGTGGGCGGAGTTGCAGATACTCCAGATGTTAGTCCTGCGGATCTGCCAGATGCTCCAGAGGTTAGTCATGCTGCAGGTCCTGCAGACATCGTGCCAGATGCTCCAGATGTTAGTCCTGCTGTTCCAGATGCTCCAGATGTTAGTCCTGCAGCGCATGCTCCATATGTTCCAGATGGTAGTCCTGCACTGCACGGGCTTGAGGTCATTGCGTACGAACCTCTTGCGGCACCACGTCGGCTGGAAGAAACAACAGATATAATGGCTTACCTCGGCATGGAGTCAAAGCCTCCCGATGCACCATCTTACAAAGTACGGCCATCTGCAGTTCAGATCGTGACGGAGCTACTCGGCGGTGCAGCCTCTTCGGATACAGCTCGCGCTGCTGCTGCCAGCGCGCAGCGCAGGGATGTCAGATCGTTGTCGGAGTTGTTCGCGGGCTGCTGCATCGTGGTCCAGCGGGTGCGGACTGAGAGAATGATCACCGACCTCACGAACGCAGTTATTCAGCATGGAGGCGAGGCGCTCGTGTACGTGGAGGCCACTCGCGGCGATGAGACGCCGCTGCGAGCACGGGCGCGGTCTTCGGCATCTCAGGCTGCACGTGATCAGAGTGCGCTCGCTGACCCAGCCGTTCCGATCATCAGCGACTTGACGGACGAAAACACGGTCAAACAGAAGATTGTCCAATCAGATTGGAATGGTGCTGTTGCGTACAGGCTGGGTTGCGGTGATCGTTACATCATTGCGAAGTTCAATTTGTTGACGTGGTTGCAATGCATCGATCGTGGGGCTGCCGAATGTAACCACCATTGCCTCTCTACCGTGAGGCCGTGTTTCGAGTTTGCGAAGATGTTCAAGCGGCACGTTCATGTTTCCACAACTGATAAGGACGCTGCCATCGCCAGGGCGTTCAACAGGCCCGCGGGGTACGGCGACGCTGAGGTTCGTTTTGGTTGTCACGTGCACACGGCTAGCAGCGTGATCGACAAGGCATCCCGTTGCATGAAGGACGACGTCAGTGCGTTGGTCCATCTTACGCTGAGCCTCAACCAGCCTGGGGCGATGCAGCACTTAAGGAAACTATTGCGGCGGCTGGTCTCGGCAGTGAAGATCGTCGAGGGCGCGCCCCCATCATAATTCAAAGGATATCGTGATCATGTTCTGGACTTGCTTATCCAGGGCTGCGACGCTGCTGATCGAGTCAGGCGATCGGTGATGGAGGCGCTGGCAAACGGCAATTGGACCACCAAGGGCGTCATCGAACATGTGAGTCTTGCCCCCACGACGCGCGAGGCTGTGGTTCACCGCTTTCAGAAGCAGTTCGTCTGGGCTGTGGCTTCGGCGGCCCCCCATGTCTATCCGCGGCATCGGTGGACGGGGGCAGAGATCACGATGCGGTGGGTGTTGACGCTGGAGTCTAGCCACGGTATCCTCGATGCGGTTTACTCCGAGTGGTGCGGCAAGCGGAGGGCGCCTGCTGCCCCAGCTGGGCCACTGCGCCGACCTGACGGAGCTGACGGCGATGAGCGTGCTGAGCGTGAAGACTTGGCCCAGGACGATGGCGAGGACGATCGCCAGGATGCTCAGAACGCAATGCCCATGGACATCATCAAGTACGAGCCGCAAGCTCGCAGCATTTCAGAGAATCCGACGGACGCGTTCCACAAGGAGAACACGAAGTGGCGCAACAGTGCGTACAAGTGGCTGGGACAGGAACACACCCTCGCCAGTATGATGGTCTTCCGCCGAGTTCACGAGGGGCACCGTCGCTTACTTTCAGCTTATCTCAAGATGTCTGGAATCAAGTGGGATCGCCGACAACTGTGGGATGCAATGGCGAAATTACGACAGGGTGATTATGTTTGGAAAGAGGGCAGCTTCCATGTGACCGCTGCGCAGAGTAGCAGGCATTCCAGGGTCACACTTGCATCCAAAGAGTCTCTGCACCGAAGTTGCCTCATGGGCTCATGGGGCCCCTGCGTGTCACGATAGTTTTCCTTTTATCCCTTGGGCTCCACAATATCACGTATAGCGCTGGCGCGCGTTGTTTCATTGTATCGTCGCAATGCCAATCAATCTGCCTTCGGTTTGCTCCGCTACCGCGCCTGAGTTGTGGACATGTGTCGTCTTGGGCGTTCCTGGGGGCCTCGGGCGAGGTGTGTCTGGGGGCCTTTCGGGGGATCGTTTGGTTTTTCTTGGGTGAAGTCTGATGGTCAAGGATGCCTCTCTGCCCTAAGGGTTAATTTATTTAGATGTCGTTATGGCTAGCGTTATTGGTTTACCTTTCCTGACGCTTACTTCCAAAGTCCGCTCGCGCGCGAACCGAGGCTAATATGGCAATGAGAAATACGATTATCAAAAACGATGTACTTCATCACTTTGTATATT